TTGGCATTGAGTCCGAAATCCTGGCCGAAGTTCTGGTATGCTGCTTCTTCCTCTCGCCGAACGCAACTGGACCCGATGATCCATATTTTAGTTACTATTTTTGTCTCCTTCTTTTCCTTTCAGGTTCTTCTAATGAAATTCATTGTGCAGCAGTGGAACTAAAACATTAAGCCAATATTTGAAGTTGTTGAAATGCTGTGTGTAAATCCACTGGGCCCTCTGACATACAGAAATCTCTCATGTAAAATAACCAACATCGCTGTATCTTTGGCATATATTTTTGTGCACATGTTAGATGGCATTGCTCAAAGCAAGAGGCTGATTAATTGATATGTTCTCTGATCCTTGCATACAGCACTTACAGATACTGCAACTCCTCTCTGCAGCATCTGACGTGTCTTGTTTGAGACAGCAAGCACGTTGCTATGAGCCAAACGTGCAATATAAGTGTCACAAGCGCGCAAACAAAGCAATCAATTCAGGTCACACATGCTGACAAAATATCTACACACACACACACTTGCACACAAAAGCTGAGGAAGGAAGGCCTAATGAATCAGGTATGAAATGCAATCAGGTTGTATGTGATTAACACGTCTTACCCCTCAGATGTTAATTCATTCATAGTCTGACAGGTGTTACGGATTACCTTTTTTTATGTTCTATTTTATAACCATATGTGTGACTTTTGTAGCCACATTGTATTCGTACAAATCATTTTACTTTCTGGTACAACATAAGAATGTATGAAAGAGCTTGATTGAGGTATACCTTCCTGCACAAGAATATCCACCGACTGACAATACGAGCACAAGAGTGGAATATTTCCTATTATTAAACCCAGCTTCCTGTCACCAGAGAGGTGAACAAGGAGGTGAAGTAAGCATGCGAGGGTTGACAGCGTTGATGGAATGGAAAAAAAGCTACCTATAAATAACATCAACGCATTCACCGGCCCCTGTAAAAAATGATGATGGAATACATTTGAACCCTGACTGCCTGGTAAAAGGAGTGACAGATATACGGTGTACAGCTAACTGTCGATAATTGGCTTCTCGCTTGTGCTCGTACTGTTCATCTTTTACTGGAGGAAGTGATTCGGATAAGGTTGCCTTGGAGAGGGGGAGAATTATTGAAATGGTAGGCAGTAAACCAGCAGCCAATGTTTTTGGTGATTTCTTAATGACATCTTGTTATTTAGGTTTAAACTGTAGCATTCTGAGATTAAACCGGTATGTTCATAGCTTAGAAATGTTGTGAAATCAACTGTTGGTGGAACTGGTCAGGGGGAAACGGCTATTTTACCTGCTTCCGGCCTTTAATTTGCTATGCTAAGTGAAGCTAATCCCCTGCTGGCTCCAGCTTCATATCTAAGGTGGAAACATGAGAGTGGCAAAGATTTTGAGAATTACCAGCCAATAAATCACATTTGAGGATGTCATTTGCAATGTTTCCGGACATGTCCTTTTATGTCTTTATGTTCTTTCAGAGGCAAGGACTGTTAACCACTACTCCATATCCGGACATGGAGACGGTCTGTCTTGATTGTGCGTGTGTGTGTGTGTGTGTGTGGGGTGGGGGGGCTGCCGCCGCTGCCGCCGCCGGAGCAGTCAGCCTTGCACTGAGTGACCTTGTTTAATTCAGCACATACATCGCAACGCTCTCACACACGCACAGCCGCACACAGCCTGACGTGCGCAGATGTGCGCATGACGCATATAGTCATGCGCACACGCATGCTTACAGTCGTGCGCGCAGGCACACAACACGGACGTGCAAACACACTCAAGCGTGCTCGCCCTGAGGCCGAGGACATATTTTGTCATTGGGGCTTATCAACGGATATAAACCACAGACAAGGAGAGTGTCTGTGTGTGCTGCTTATGCTGGTTAGTCTACACTGGACAGCTATTCTGTTCCAGGACTACGTCCTTGTGCTGCATATATATTATCACTGCATACATCAACCCTCAGGCATGTGCTCTTCACCTCATCAAAGAAAAGACTACTGGGAATCAATATATTGCTGTAATCATAGCTGACTAGAATCATCATTCATATGATAATGTGGATAGATCTGTACTCAGAAAATGATTTCCCCCTCTTGATTCACCTTATGTTGCCTGCCACGATAAAAGCAATAAAGGGGGGGGACACCACGTAAAGCTGATCTAATTAAATTGGATGAGCACTGTGTGGAGATAACAAGAGTATGAGAGATCCAGCAGTTGAAGGAGGAGATGGGGAAAACATCTTGAAAAGCTGCCTTTACAGAACTGGCCAATCCAACTGGTGAGTTTCTACGGTGATGAGCAGAGGCGACCAATCAATTCGCTCATCCTGAGCCTTGGCAACAACCTCACCGGCAAAGCGAAACAGTAGTGTGATGTGTGAGTGTGTGGCTGGGAGGGGGTTTGTCTTTACATCTGTGTGTGTGTGTGTGTGTGTGTGTATGTGTGTGTGTGTATGTGTGTGTGTGTGTGTGTGTGTGTGAAAAGTGTCTATCTGTGCAGTCTTGCCCCAGAGTGAGTGTGCGGCTCGTAACGTCTCCTATAACATGTGTCTCGTCTCCTCTGTATTCAGGTCGTGTGTGTGTGTGTGAGCTGCCATGTCACACACGCACAAACTGCCACGTCTGTTCTGATCTACTGTGTACATTGAAGACTAAGGCTGAGCCGTTTTCATCCCACGAGTGGCAGATTAATTGACGGTCTCATGAATTCATTATTACGATCGCCCATAAACACACGAGACACAGGCTGACCTAATGCACACAGAGGTGTGTGCCTGCATAAATACGATCGAGTGCAAAATTCGCCTAAGTTGGGTCCGGCAGAAATGTATTGTAGAGCAGCGTCCCTTCTGGCAAAAAGAGAAACCAATACAAACCTTTAGATAATACAAACCAAAATCTAAAAAAAGTAGAGAGTTGACAAGAGATTAGGGGTGAGAGAGGCGAGGGATAGGCTCGTGGTCTTTGTTTTTACTCAAATTGGCGACATTGCAATTACATCACCAGAATCTTGGATCTGGAGGCGTGCAGGATGCCCCACAATCTAAAAGTCTGTCAAAATGATCCTAAATTGACCAAATATATTGATATACTCAGATACCTCTTGGCCATACCTCTTGTTTTTAAAGAAATGTTTTTTTAGGAAAATGGGCTGATTCACTGTCTTGCCTAGAGTTGTAGGAGGAACTATATATTACACCACTCTTATGTTTGTATGCGGTAAATGTTAAGCCAGCAGCCAGCTAGTTTGTGCTAGTGTAACCTCTGTGAGATGTCTCCTGGCTAAATTTTCCCATTTAGCGGGATTTAACCTGAACCTTTTCAACTATGTTACACTAGCTAGTAAGCTACCTTAGCACAAAACAGTGATAGCAAGACTCCAGGAAGTAAAGCAGGGTATGCTTTAGGGCGGGGCTACCTTGTGATTGACAGGTAGCTACCAAGGCGTTGTCCAGCTGTGAGTTGTCCGTGTTTTTGTCTCACAACTTAAATCTTTTTCACAGTCTGTTTTTGGTCACATGAAAGTCAATTATAACATTTTGGTCACCTACAAATCCTACAAAAGCCTTCGGTTGTACTTAGCTCCACACTCTTGTGTCACCTCTGGTTGCAAGATGGCGACGCCAAAATGCTAAACTCAAGGTTGCAAAATGGCAGTCCAAAAACCAGTGGCTGCCATCACAGTGTCTACATCTTCTTATTTACAGTCTATGGATGCAACAGTAAATTCCCCTCAAAACCACAAAGTTTGGCTTTTTGACGGGATTAGAGAACAAGGTAACCTTAGTATAAAGACCGAAAACAGGGGGAAACAGCGAGCCTGGCTCTGTCCAAAAGTAAAATATTCTCCAAACAGGAACACAAACGCTCAGAAATTCAAGTTTCATATATCACTTTTTACATCCATACAAAAACCAAAGTGTTAAAACAAAGGCTTTATGGGACGTCATGTGCTGGAATAGCTTCGCTTAGCATAGCACAATATCTGCCTACCAGGACCTTTAAAGCCAAGCTAACCGTCTCCCGGTTGTAATCTTATATTTATTGCACAGGCATGAAGCTCCAGTATTCACGACCCTGATTTATTTCTAAGCAGCTGATAGTGGGTGCTGACAGGGAGGGGAACCCTGCAATCTCTCCCCTCCTGTCAACGGAGCACTGCCTGCGATTCAGGCCGTGAGTCAATGCTTTGAATAGAGGAGATAAAGCCTCGGCCTCCCACGTGTGCAGACGTAGCTTCAGATGCCAAATTCAAGTGTGTATTGACTCTATTTGTTTTGGAAATGTTGGGGGGGTGGAGATTTGGAGGTTTGAGTCTAGACATGCATCTGTCAAAAAAGTCTTTATGTGCTGAATCTGAATGCGTAGGACCGATACTGGCGGACACAGAGACTATAGGTGTCGCCCCTCAACTATGGCCTCTTGCCTCCTCTCTGTGGCATCATCCGGCGAGCAGTTGTCAGCCCTGATGGGGGTCTGCGTTTGTCATTGGCCTACATCACAGAGAGAGCGAGAGAGTTTGCCTGCGCACGTGCACTCGTGTGCATATGTGTATTTGTGCGAGTGCTTGTGCGAGTGAGTGTACAGTAGCTGTGAGTCACACAGTGTGGGGGCTACAATGCATCTGCGCCCAGCACGACAAATGTGTACCGCTTGACTCTATTTCAAGTCCACAACCACATTCCATATGGTGTCAGCTCTGCACACTATGATAGAGGGCCTGCTCTGTTTTTGCTGCGAGATGAATGAGAGGTGTGGAATTCAGAGAGTGTAGGTTTTACTAAAGCTGTACAGGGTCATCCATTCGCTCCATTTCAAAACAGATCCGTTGTTTGGACGGCCTACACAAAGGGTTCGTTTTGAATTTGTGGATGGTAAAGGAGCAGGGTTCCTACATTATAAGTAGGAATGAATATGGAAACATTGAGAACGTGTATTCATATTCAATTCAACAAAATCTTTCATGTTTCATACTCGACATCCATCCTCGGTGTCATCCGTTATGCTCAGTTGCGAGTGCAGAGGTGATCACCGTCAGTTCAAGCGTTGATATGTCAGACAGGTTAATGGTGAACAACTGCCACCACCTGGTGAAGTTTAAGATTACACTCACCTTGACATTATTAGTCTGACATCGTGTTCAGTTATGTCAACAGCATATATGTGAGCATAATTACATCAGCTTTACCATTGAGATTATTCATAGCGTGTGTTTTTTATTTCTGTCATGTTCTAGAAAAGCTGCAATATCAATAAACCTCGTGACTTCAGCTCAAAACAATTTCACTGCAGCAGCAGGAAGAGTATGATCAACCTCTTTTTGGCAAAGTAAAAGCTCTCTGCACTAAACATCATGTGACAAATTATGTTTCTAAGCATATACGTATGGCTTTCATATTCATGTCTCGTGTCAACAATTCATAAAGCCAGAAATGAAAAAAAGGAGACTGGAAATTGCACATAAGAGAGACCCATAAGAGGTTGAGTAAATCACTCATAACAGAGTGAACACAGTTTGTATTCCTCTCTGAGACATTTGTCAAGGAGTAAACTAATATTAAAGCGTATGTGCGTATACGTGCATTGAAGCGTCCTTCTGCCACGGCATTATCCTTTACATAGAAGAAGTGGTAAACACAGATGGTAATGTGAGTAAATATGTGCTTGCATAAACGTCTTTGCAGATTGACACCATTTCACTACACTATAGAGTATTACAGAGGATAAAGCCTCTGGCATGAAGACAGTATATTTAATGCTTGTGTGGTGATCGTGTTAAACAGACAAAGGACAAGTTTGGTGCCATTTACATCCCAAAAGCATGTTCTAAAAGACCAAATGTGGCAACCCTAAGGCTTTTCTTTAGGTAGCTGTAGCAGGATAACAGCTTATCTACATTGTAAGACCTCCTGGTCAGTGATCCTTCCATCTCTCTGTATAGCGTACTTTTTGTTCCTGCCATTTGAGGAGTTCCTTTCCCAGGCTGTGTGGTGTGATTGAATTATCACTGGTGATGTTGTGGCCCTGCATCACGAAAAACCCCACCTAACAGGTGGTACTTATAGCTAGGAGAGGTAAGGATAAAAAAAATTGTCGGTTATAAAAACACGTCCGTAGTTAGAAACTGTCCCCAAAATTTGATGTGGGGAAAACTAGCCTCTTAATTGGCGCCCTAGGTATGTGCATCAGACAAACCCACCATGATACACCTTGTGCCCCCTTCTCCTGCAAGTGCCACGATAGGGGACCTCACCAGATTTTCAAGTGGAAGAAGTCAGGCCTCGGGCCCATGAGTGTGACTCTATAGAACATGAGTCGCCATGCATTAAACATGGTTTGCAGCATACACATTGGTAGTGAGAAACAGGAACTTGGTGCATGAACAGTGATTTATGGCTCAATATGCTGCACTTGGGAAAAACAGCTAATATCTTACTCCTGGGAGTCTGCCAATTTTCTTCACGTCACTTCATAAGTAGACACATTAACATTTCTCACTTTCTATTTACTCTCCTCTCCTCTTTGGTAAGAATGTGTAAAGAAGCGCTGAACAAACAAGTCATTTATTCTTGTGGTGACTTCAATCCATCCACTGTCTCTATGTCGATGCTGCAGCTCAGAATATATCAACACAAACAAAGGTCGGATAGGATAAAACACGTCTGTAGCAGTCAATACAAACACATAGAGTAGTTGTCTCTAGGGTTATCATGTTCCTGCTGCTGGTGATGACTTCTGAGTGTGTGTGTGTGTGTGTGTGTGTGTGTGTGTGTGTGTTAGTGTGCTACCTCTCCCTCTTCACAGCTACATAATCATTCCACAGCAGATCTGATACAGGATGATGTTCTCCCCAGAGATACAACCAGAGGGGGCAAGAGATGCTTCAAGAGTTACGTCATCTCCTGTGCAGTCAAATTCAGTCGCACAAACACAGAAAACAAACACGTTTTCATCATCTAGAATCAAAGCACTTGAGGGTTTTCCACAGTGCATTGCGTTCGTTGCGTGGTGGCACATCAACGCTCCAGGAGGCGACAGAGAGCGGGACTGATCATTCTCTTGATATATGCTATGCAGCATAATTGAAGTCATCAGAGGCAGCAGGCATTTTATCAGTCACAACAACAAGCCCCTCGGCATGTTGGGATGGAGAGCACACAACACGGTGACAAAGCGCCACTAATCTCTCCATCCATTTTTCATCGTGATTGCTACTGTACGCGCCTCGCTCCAGGGAAAAGGGGGAGGTGTTGGAGAAGGCGGGGGGAGTACATGTATATGCGGGTGGCACACTAGTGTCAACATCAGACAATGTGCAAGAGAAATAGGCTGATCTATAGGAGGTGCCACAGTAAACAGCTGCTGAGGCGTCAGACGCACACAAGTGGAACAAATATGTTAACCTATTGAAAAGCATCCATCTGGTGTATGTGTATGTGTGTGTGTGTGTGTGTATTAAATGTGCCCGTCCAGTGTGTGACTGCCACACATGCTCAGTATCTTGTCTTCAGGCCCTCTTTGCTGACACCGAGTGAAAAACACAATGCCACATCACAGCAATCAACATGAAAGGTTAGAAATCCATCACCCTGAGAGGTTAGTTGGCTGAAAACAAACACTCTTTTCAATCACAGTGATACAATCAAACAGTCAGTGGCAGCAATCAGCTGAGGTGGAGACCAGGAGGAGAGGTTGCGAGTGCATTTTGTTTCTCCCTTTGAACTTTGCTTTGCTCCTCCACACACCCACAGGTGGAATCCAAACCCACTGCAACGACATGTTGTTTTTAGTTCCAAGTCTCCTGACGCACAGTGCACTTTCCACCGCTTTTCCCTCATCTTGCTCACAACAAAACCCCACAAAAGGAGCCGCTCAGCCAATAAGTAGATGAAACACAGAGCATTCAGTCTCACAAATTGCAACGAGCACATAACGACACAAATGAAACTAATTATTGATTAAATGGAAGAAACCTTGCCACATCTCTCACTCCTGATTCATCCCTCTTAATTACCGAGTGATGGTTTTTCATTGCAAACAGCCTGTGATGAAATATGAATAACAACAATAGGCCATTAGCTTTCTGCACATTCCTTTCTACCCACAAAGTTAGAGAGGATCTAATCAAATGATAATGGTTATCCACAGAGAAGCTGGGGGAATTTGGTTTTCAGACCAGAGAATCAACACTGAAACCTTTAATATGGTTTTTAATAGCAAGTATTAAATTCTCCAGTAAACACTGATTAATCGGATTTCAAGCTACTGCAATCAATATGTTCAGATTAAGAATGGATTAAATGATTATGTGTATGTGAGAGGGGATCATGGTAGTGATGAACCCAGAGAATTATCAGTCTCCCTCTACAGGTCCTTTTAGCAATCATCCAGTTGCCCTGTGGGTAACGTAGGCAGGAGTTTCTGACAGGGAGGAAGAATGTGTGGAATAAAAACTGTTCTGCTGCATTGATTATGATCATTTATTTTACCATCATGAGTCCAACAATGTCATAGAAGAGCTATGCTGAATCTATAGAGTACTCCTTTTTGCATTTTGTCTTATTCAATTGAAACCTGACTCAGCCTGGCAATGCAGCCTGGATTTCCAAAGTAACCACTGTCAAAAACTTATTCATGCTAGTTTGTTAGTACTTTTTTTTTTTTATAATTTATGGTAATCCACCACCAGCAGGCCTACAATGACAATATATCACTTACTCAGGTTGTTGAGAAATGCATTGTCCACCTTTTCTCTCCAAAGAAGACTGAAGCCAAGCAAATTATTTCATCCCAAATCATTTAAACCAAACGTCTTCATGAGGCGAAGGACTCTTAATGTAAACAGTAACTGCCAGTGCAATTTTGTTCAGTTTAAATTTCTCATGAATGAGTGTAACAAGTGCACTTACCTCTGAGGTTTGAAATTCTCGCACTCAATTTACAAGGGTTTAAAAAGGTGCAAGTAGAATAACCAGAGGTTGTGTCGACCCCTCGGTTTGCCTCTCAGGTCACAGCATCAACCCACAGGTTTTATGTCAGGGAGGCTGCAGATAAGCCAAACACGACCTTCCATTGATGGCAGGAGACCATGGTGTTCTCTGAGGGACATGACAGGGCAGAACTTTACCACATGCCGTTTGGCTGAGGCAGTCAGTCACAGACATGGGGTTTGATGAGGAGGGAGGGCTAGAAGTCGAGGCTGATTACTGCCTGAACGTGTGGTACGCAGTTAATGGTTCAACAAAATAAAAACTTCTAAATGACACAATTAAAAGTTTAAATATATTAATAAAAAAAAGTGTATTTAAAAATGTAATAGACAGTTTTTAAAAGGCTAATGGAGCCATTAAAGTCCTCCGTAAACACAACCATCCTCTGAGAGAAAGCCAAAAGACAGGCCATGATAAATGTATCAACTCCATGTTGCTGCTTCCTCCTGAAGGCAACAGTGTTTCACCTGAGGTCTGAGGCTGCTGACAGAGTATCGACTGCAGGATGCCTGTGTGCGCACCAAACTCCTGGGTAACAGGACAAACATATTGATGGGATCATTTGTAGCTTTGTGACATTAACCTTTGTCATGAGATACTCATATTTATGGACCATTTCATGGCCCTATTAAAGAAGCTTTCAAGTGGGGCCCCAGTGAGAAAATATACTGTGAACAATGTAGAACCTGTTATTTCCTGTGGACGTGTATCAATGTATGAAGATAGAGGTGGGGAGTACTGCTGTCAGGCTCACTATAATGCCACTGTACCCTCGGCTGCAATTTCCTCCGATATGTGGAAGTAGCAATAAATAAAAATATCTCTCTCTAAAACTCACTTCTCCTCTTCCAGTTACATTCTTTTTCATGTCACTTCCCCAAAACCTACTGCCATGTTGTTTTTAACAAAGCGGAATGATGCTTTGAGCATCCCCATAATGTTAATCAGCATCACTGTCAGTTAAGTACATCTTGTGTAAAAAAAAACAAACAAAAGTTAGGGATCCATTTCTTACAGTTGTCGTTTATTTCACCATCCCCGTTAACTTGTATACCCAAAACTAAAAAGGCCTCACAATATTCACAGAGGTTCTACAGAAATTACCTGCTATGGGTTATCAAGGTAGTGAAACGGAAAATAAATTCATGAAGGGGTTCGATCGGTCACAGAATGAGTCGCTATGAACTAACTAGACCTACAAGGTGCAAGATAAATGCTGACAAAAAAACATATAACTTAAGTTCAAAGAAACAAAAAAAGGCTGCATTATGAATATCAACATTGGCAGCAAACAAATATACACTATATGTACAACACCACCGTTGATGTGTGGATACACTTAAGTTGTACTCTATGCAAAAATCTATTGTTTGATTATCAAACACTCACCTCCTGTAGGTTTTAAAAGGCAGCTATAAAAACAATGTGTCCACTACGGAGCAGAGCGTCTACAGAGGGCGAGTGTTTAATATTCAAAAGACAGACTTCAAGGGAGGAGCACATGGACGCAAAGTCGTGACAACTCATCTAAAAAGCAGGAAAGCCTGATAAATAGGGTATTAGAATGAAAAAAAATAAAAAAGGTTAAAATTCTCCCACATCCACCCTCTTGTCCCTGAACTTGCTTCTGGCTTTGGTCCGAGCCTTGAACGCAGCAGAGTTGTGCAGATGCTGGAACAGAGAGGCAGAAAAAAAAAAAAATCATTCAAAAGTAGAAAAAACAAGCTTTAAGTAGGTTTGATGTGAGAACATTTCCACACAACAAGGTTTCAAAAAGAGAGATGCAAGACTTCTAAACACAAAAGGGCTTTTGTTTTTAACACTACAACGTGAGAGTTGACATAACCCGTGCACGTACCCTTTCAAAGCGAGAGATTTTCATGGACTTCATTGTGGCGGAATCAACCAACATAGGCGGTCCCAGTTCAAACACGTCTCTGATGAATTCATTTGCCTGAAGAGAAGTGGAGAAATAAAACTTCAAAGAAAATACTTCTACCAGCCATCGCACAATACAAGCATAATACAAAATCTGCGAGACACTAGTTTGCCAATTTTAGATGGCATATTTTTGTTACGTGCTCTGTAATGTTAAATTATCTCATCTTCACTTGTGAAGTGTTGCACTTTTCCACAAGCACTGGCTTCCGGCCACAGTGCAGACTACTTTCCAACCAGCTACTCGTAATGGCTTTTTTTTCCTTCTGCAATCCGCAACAATATCCTAAATCAAGTTGTAAGAGTTGTCTTCCTGCATCAGGCAGGCCCACAGATCTTCATTGTCTTTTAGTGCTGTGTCAAGGCAGGAGAAAAGAGCTCCTGTTACATAGCATCCAACCCGGCCCACACTCAGGATTCTGCAGTGCAATTAAAATGTCAACTCGCGTGCATTTCAATTTTCATTGACTCGTATATTAAACACCATACCCCAGTTATTTAAAAAAACGCATACCTGTAAGTGGTAGTTCATCCCGGAGCCCACAAACTCTCTGAAGGCATCATACGTCCTCTTTCTAACCCAGCTGTCGATGGTCATGCGCTCTGTCCCGAAGCGAATGGTCTCAGACTGGAAGTCACCCTCCTAGAACAATGTAGATGGAGGTAAGACAATGCCAGAAACAGATTCTTAAATCGATAGCCGCAGTCCTCACAAGTCCTCTTTCTTTGTCCCAACTAAAGACACAGAATCTCTGGCTTGTTAAACCTAAGGCACCCAGGATAAGAGGAGAAAGACTAATCTAAAAAAATCAATTAAAACCCAGCAAACACCCACCTCAACAGCCTTGAGTACGTCTCTGAACACCGACCGCTGCTTCCTCTTGTCGGTCTTGGCTCGGTGCTTGTTACAGTCCGTGGCCAACGCGTTCAGTTTGTCACAAAGTTGCTCCCAGTCATCAAACTCAAACTCCTAAAAAAGGGCCAGAGAAAGAAATGCTGCATTCATGGCCAATGAAAAAAAAGCAAGCTGTCACAGTAGACAGACGTCCGAATAAAGAGAAATGTAGGGCAACAACAAAGACCAAACTACAGTCCCTTTTGCATTCAACAACGGTTATTTAGTCCCAATACTTGACTGTACTACATGAATGACTATGAACTGTACTACATGAATGACTATGAACTGTACTACATGAATGACTATGAACTGTACTACATGAATGACTATGAACTCACTGAGTCCATGTCTCTAGCCAACTCAAAGAGCAGGGCAATCGTCTCCCCTGCAGCAATTCTCATGTTGACGTCCTCACTTTCCAGCAATCTCGGCAGTTTAGGCAGGTGTCTGCATCACAAAACACATGCATTCCAACATTTTAAAAATATACATGCATAATTTCTCAAATTTTTCAGGGCTAATCCGAGTCTAGGTTTCGGTAAAATAGAATAATGTGTGGTTAAGCTCACAAACGTAACTGTGAGACTTAGTTAAAGGGTCGACAGCACTGGGTCTTACGTGCGCAGGATGTCTTTGAGCTGGTTGGCGGTGCAGATGGTGAGCAGCAGAGCCCAGGACAGTAGGGCGTTGGTGTGGAGCTGGCTCATCTGGGGATTGATCAGAGGACAGGTACCGTCCATCCTCGCATAGGACCGGGTGAACAGGTTCTCAAAGCATTCCATGGTGGCATGCACGTCCTAGAGAAACAAAGCAGCAGAGATCGTATGAAACATGAGTTCAGCTGCCAGTGCTGATAACATCACCAATGAAACAAGAGGTGTAAAACCACAGAAAAGATACCAAAAGAGATCAAGAACTTACCAAAATGTCATCTTCTGCAACTAAAGTACAGAGGCCCAGACTTGTTGCAACCTGTCAGGTAAACAGAGAGGTTGGTTCCGTTAACTTTCCACAGTGTAAACACGTTTCAGAAAACAAACAGACAACCACATCAGGTACTCACAGCCTGTCTGGCTTGTATGTTGGCTGATCCATCTGCCAGGATGTTTTTGAAGATGGGTTTCAGGGTCTTGAACACCTCCTCGCTCTCGATGCCCGAGCCCAGCTGGATACACAGCAGGCAGGCTAAAGAAGCTGCCGCTCGCTGCTCCTCTCCTTTGCCTGACAGCGAGAAGGGTGTGCATTAACGTTTCCTGTCTACTTTACCATATCATCCGGTAAATTTGGAACAAATCCTATTATAGTAAAATGACTTTCATGTCCTGATTTAAACCCAGTATTTCACCACTTCGAGAGTCACTCATTAGTTATTCCGGTACCTTTCTTGAGGCAGCGTTCAATGCTGTCTGTGATGGTCATCCTTCTCTCCGAGATGAACTCGTACAGGATCCGTGTGGCCATTGCCGTCTTAAGCCCATCCAGTGCGCCTTGTCTGGTCTTAGCACTGAGGAAACGGATGCAAACATTCATTATTGCAATAACGCAGATCATTATCCGTCTCCTTCCGTATGAAGAAATACTGACGATGCACTGTTAAGTGCATGTGCTAAACACCCTCTGCTTTAGCCAATAGCTTGGAGTTAAAGTGATTGAAAGAAAGTAGATCAATTTTAAAAGCAAAAGTTTCTAATAGGTTAGTCTAAGTAAATACAACAGGTAAGTCGATATGAAATAAACTAACAAAAAGGGCCTCTCACACACACACACACTCTCTCACACTCACACACACACACACACACACACACACAAGCCTGCGTACCAAGAATAGATAACGTGTATGTAGACTGTTGAGAAGCAGTTAGTACTTTTTATTACCTCTTATCAACCGTGCTGTCTATGAACCCCTTCAGCTTGTACTGGAAGTCCTCCTGGGCTGTGTCCTCACTGGCCTCTCCACCTGGAAATGCCACAAGATGTAAACACTTGCCTGATATGCATCACAGTATTGGTACGAGTTACTGGTCACAAAACATTAGATGAAGTGCACTTTTCGGAGGTCCTAAAAACAAAAACAAAAACGGCCTTTTACTCAATAAGTTGCCCGATAATATACAATACACATACACACAAACATACCTTCATCCGCGACACTGGCGGTGTCACTGAAGCTGCTGCAGTGACTGAGGGTCTCAATGGAGGCATCCTCATCACTGAAAGGATGCACATTTCCATGTTGCCCCCCTGTAAACAAAAAAAAGAGAGCCATAAGCACAGAAAATATATTTTAGCCTAATCAAAATCAAGTGTGTTCGTACAGTGCAGCTGGTCCAGTTAAGCCCGTTATGTAACCACACAGGTACTGTGGCAAATACTGCAGTTATCTAATCTATAGTCGTGTCCTTTGCACGCCTTACCCTGCTGTACTTTCATTATCTCGTATGAGAATGCACCATGCTGCCAAGGTAAACACAAACACTATGTTCAGGTTGGAGGGTCATGGGTCAACATGGCTGAATTCTCTGACAATGTGCTACAGGAAATGCTCTCGGGAGCAAAGCTACTGTTCAGAATAGACAAGCACAGTTTCGGTAACTTCCAAACACACAAGAGCAAAACAACCACGTGTCAGAGGGCGAGAAGGAAGCTATTTTATTTCTTCACAAGTCCACAATTTATAATCTGAAGCAAGATGAGTGTGGGAGAGTTGTGAAAATTCACAGCTGAAAGTGTATGAACATCTTCAGTCTGATCATTTTTCAAAACTAAAAAGCTTTCATTGTATTTGTTTATAGACACCATCAATAAACATACATAGCATGTGTGAGACATTGCTTCCACAATGATGGCGCACTGTAACCAGACCCAACAAGCGTCTCTGTCTACTCTGGTCTGACCTGAATTCACCTCTGGAAGACATGCTGGTGAAGCGCATCACTGTAATAACAAGTCCTAAAGTAGTCACGACCATGAATGAAAATACTCCAATACCTCCAGTGATGACAGACACATAGGAAGCACTGTCGGCTGATTTTAAAAGGCCATTTTAGCCGCCTAACAGAGGCTATTTATGAGTGTTTACGTGGACTCTCCCCACACGACAGCCGATTTCTGGGAACCGGGCGCCGCCTCTTCACCAGCCAGCTCTCTCGAGTCTAAAATGTCCGCCTTGTGTCGCTAAACGATAACAGCAAACAGGCTAGCGGTTATCCGGCATTAACAATGCTAAGTTAACGTCACAAATTCGGCTAAAGATTATTTGAGGTCAATCTTTAGACAAGCCGGCCTAACACATAACTATATTTCAATTATTAGACCTACAATAGGTTATTTAATGGTCCACCGAGGCTATAGTCACACCAAAAGATGTCACGTCGTCACATAAGTATGTGCATTAGATAAATTACCTTTACGTTGCTAGTGGGAAGTTGACATTAGCTAGCGCTAGCAGACGTTAGCTTGTAGCGTACGATGATAATGAAGGGCTCGTGTCAAGTACATAACGTTAATAGTTTATGATCATTAAACTAGTGTGCCAATAAATATGAAGGATATTGTCGTATGATAGCACATTTTTGTAAAAGCGATGCTTTGTGTGACCATGTCTAGTTAGCTTTGTATTTTGACGTAGGCCAGCCTCTGACGTTTGTAGTCCTCACTATAAACCCGTTCAACTCTACACAATGGGCTGAAAACACGAAAAGAACTACAACTACCTTCAGCAAATGAGCAGGGCCAATGCAATGCGGCCGCTCGCTTACTTACCCCTACTATTCTTCTTCTTGGTCCTCGGCATTTTCGTGCAGATAAACGTGTAGTTTTGATCAAAAATCACCCAATACACGAACAGCTTTTACTATATTGTCTCGTAAAATGAAAATATTCCCGTGGCACAGCGGATAAAAAGGAATTGAAGGCGATCTGGGAAATAAACTGTTGACCGAGACGATACATTTTCCCTCATAAACCAGGGTTGCGTAAGAAGAGGGAGGCTCCGAGTATTTATACCGGCTGACATGTCACGAGCAGGTTTCCCGGCATCTCCGACCAATCCGGGAACAGGAGCATGCGTCGCGTGTGTTCGCGCGTGATGCAGGGCACAAAGCTTATTTCCTTATTAAAGTGAGGTGTGTATCTGATTATCGTCATAACAGGTTTAGACAGTGGCGGCTGGCCAATAGAGGGCCATGCCTGGCCATGCCTGGCCCTCTATTGTCAATATTTGTGTTTTTGAACTCTGGAATGTACCCAGTAATATGTGTAAAATGTGATATCTGCTTTTCCTGCTCGTCCTCTCCGCCTGTCTGCTCGTCTGCTCGTGCTCTCCGTCTGTGTGCACGACACGTCTCAGAACTAGGGGGGCCAAATCATTTTGGCCCTAAAGAGGCGGGTCTATGAAGCAGTTTAGCCAATTGCTGATTAAAGATATAAATGAGTGACATACAATTTAGCCAATCAGCGCCCTCAAATAGATTCAGCTTTGGGCCAAACCGATTTGGCTGCGCGTTCTCGTCAGGAGAAGTCTCTACAGGCGAGCGCCAGCGCCAGCGCGAGCAATACTCCTCCAAGACCCGTCTGAGAGGAGAACTTTGGCGGAGATCTACATAGTTGTCCTCAGTCTCATCTGCTTAACTTGGTCATGGAGACATCAACATGTAATTGAGATGTTAAATGAACAGTGAAAACTCATCATAGCTTAATTTAACATCAGTATTCATAATTACACTTCATGTTTACTTCTCCTGATCTTTACCTCCTATAACAAGGCCCATAGGGGCATCTCAATAAATAAACATGTTATATTATATTATGTTATATTATATAAGTGTTATTTACTGCTTTTTTTCGTGTTGGAATAAATGTTAAATATTTAACTGCAAAGTAGTAATGCGTGTTTACTTTAATTTGTTTGCATTAAATCATTCTGGGATGTTTGCTGAAATTGATTGGATGGCCCTACCTAGAAAATTTTCCACCAGCCGCCACTGGGTTTAGACATAGTATTCATAAACCTGTATTTCTGCTTTTGATACTTAACTACACTTAAGAACAAAAAATGTACACAACAGTTTGAATATTAAAGGACTGTACTTTACTTCTTGCAGGCCATCGCTCTGATGAACACTTAAATCAGTCATACTCTAAAACAAAAATATCTACTGCTGCTGTTATAGATTATAATCTTACAGTTTTTAATGCACAAGTTTTTTTCATATGTACATATCATCTGTCAATATAAATCGTACATGCAGTATTTCGACATCTTTATTAATACTTTACGAATAATGTATATTCAGTATGTAGTTCATACTTACAGAACACTTGACTTGTATATAGACGTTTTATTTCTAACTTTAATGTTGGTCATTGGTGCTTTTTATATCTATTTCTATAATGTTTATACACACGCCTATTTTTTCACAACTTGTGTGCATAAAAGTCCTGTCTATTCCTTAACTTTATTTATTTTCCAAAACAGATTCAAAGTTAAATTCTTTGTATGTGCAATAGCAAAATAAAGCACCTTCACTTTTAACATGTTATTTACATTTGGGTATCGCTACTTATACTTAAGTAAAGGCTTTGAGGACATCCTCTACACCTTCCTGTGATACGATCTGCATCTTATGCAACATATTCGCCATTGCATCACAGGGCTCTCTGCTGCGACACATCCTGTGATAATGTTCCTCTGTGATGCTGTCATTGTATTCATTTACTTTATGCAACTAACACTGTGATGACAGGGCTTTGTGACGCAGTTGATGCTGTCATTTTATGAATCTAATGGATGCTGTGATTAGAGGACTGTGATGCAACCAATAGCCCTCTGCTGCAGATATGCTCATATTATAAATTGCATTAGAAACTGTGATTATAACCTCATGTGATTACAGTCCTTCAAGAAACAATGCAGAACATGGATTTATGTACAATCTTCTTGTATGTTGTATATGCTAAAGTAGACAACACAACAGAAACACATAACAAAATAACAGCAACTGAATTATATTGTCAGAGATGCACTTATGGCCCATTTTTTTGTCAATTTCTTAATAGTGTTGTCATAAATATGGATATTTAAATTTTGTTTAGTCTTTCTGTTCTTAGGTGCCTTTGCAGAGTTCTACTAGCAACATCTAAATCTGTAGAAGCAGTTATACAAAATATATCAATTAGCAGTACACAGGATATGGACACAGTGTCCAATATAATACAATCCAAAGCTTCATGGCTCACGCTCTGTGATCATTGCCCCGAATGAGTTGGATTTGGGATGAGGATGAATGCATTGTATCAATTCCTTTAGCTCATTGAGTTTAGAGAGAATTTTAATCTTCAATTTAATTCCAAGCAAAGTCATTGAAATATTTACTTGTCCAAATATTTGAAGAGTTACTTGTGTCTTGTTCTGCGGGAACTGACACACATACCTGAAGAAGATAGATTGGTGTTCATTTTCCATCATTAGTGTGTCACTGAAAATAAGGCCATTCAGTGGCATTGATAATAATCGCTGGTGCATTTTAATTTTGTAATCTAGCCAAATGGGATGTTGGAACATTTCCTCAACTATGTGGGACAATGAGTATCAGTAACACATAAGCTTCCTGGACAGCAAAAGACAGGCACAAGTCCAATATCTGTACTCCAGCTGTCATGTTGGAGTTTCCTGGTCTGGATATGAGTCTTTGTTTTTGGAATTGTTTTGAAGTTGTTCATGAGACACTGTTTTTTAAGGTCTCCCCATTATTCTCTCCATCACTAGGTACGTATGTAAATGTACTTTATCTTCTGTACACAGATTTACAACATGAAAGCTATTCTTTCAGACACATACACTGCTCTGTCCATAAAGCAAACTTGGTACAGCTTGTTTAATCTTGTGTTTTTAGTTTAATCTCTCTACAGCGAGCTTAGAGGTCAAATACGGGACAGCATCTGATAAGCACAGTTTCCACTAAATTGTCCTGCTGCCTAAAGTCCAAGTGAGCGTTTATCAAATCTTGGCCTAACAACGAGCTGAGATTGAATCATTCCAGTTAATTATCTTTTCTGGCTTTTGTTGTTTCCGTCACTCCGCATTTTGCTTGACAGAACAGAAATAGTTCATTCTTTTTCACACAAGAGGAAAATCTCACAGATGAAGCCTCCATGCTGCCATTCCCACGGCCCAACTGTCAGCAGCGTACTTGCCAGCTCAGACCTGACAAACATCAGAATATACAGGCCTGCAGAATTCAAAGCTGACTTTCATTTTCCATGCACCTCCTGTTTGACTATCGGGAGCTGAAACACAACACATGATTGATTGATTCTTTTTTTTTATCGCGTAGTTGTCAGTTTAGATCGTATTTTCTTTGGAGAAGCAACTGCCTTGATGCACAAGCACTCCTAAAACATGGGTGGGTGGACTCAAAAACACATTCAGCAATTTGTTTCAATCTATACTTAACCAAATATATCCTGCCAAAAGAAGATTTCCCTCTACATCCTGCCAAGACAACAAGAAAGTTCCACACGATCAACATATTACCATGTACGAAAATAGTGAGAGTAAATTGTATCTGCTTAATCACTTCAGCAGGCAGTGGCCATGACAACATGATGTATGACTTGAAATCCAAGCACAGACAGCTCCACATAATCCTTCATCGTGGGGTGAAATAAAGAAAGAAAGATGTGGAGTTCCATGAAACAGTGGAGCCAAAGGTTTTGAAAACTTTAGAACCGCTCAGTAATTGCAAAGATGAAAGGGTTTGCACAAAAAGTACTTTTTTATCCACATTGCAGACAATCATCCTCCTCTGCAGACTAACTGTGACATTAAAGACATTGACAATATAGCAATACAATAATGATGTGACCTTTCTTTGTACTTCCCTTTGTGCATGGAGCGGTGTGCTCTCTTGAATATTTGAGGTGGCAAACATTTTTTATCCTCAAGATGGCCCACCGCAAGACTGTACTGGATTCTAGAAGAGGCTGTATGTAGCCCTTAGGGCACTGGGCGTGCGGACTGGACTGCTGCTCTGTTAACTTGAATAATTTATTATGTGTGAAGCTGGGGGTGTGTTAAGTGGACACTATAACAAATAGTGTGAGGTCAAATGGTATATGGTAGAATATGTGCTAAATAATGTTTAAAGAGACATTCCTTGATTTCTAAAGGGGTTGACAATCGGCCCCCAAATCTAATTTGTTAACTGTAGGGTTTGAGCAATATAGCAAACTCAGAGAGCTGTGAGTTAGAACAAAGAAGAAGCTGGCAAGAGGTTTTTAATGATGTCCATAAACACTCTCACAGTGAAAGGTGCTTGTAATATTAAACCTATTTGCTTGAGGGGCAGCCAGGCCTTGTGTCTGTCTTTGGCACTAGGGGGAGCCATTCTGTTTGAAATTCGAAGGACACGCTGCTCTCACTGCAATAGAGCAAGTGAAATTCCAAGAGATGCTCTTTTTTTTGATCCATAATTTATTGAGTCAGTGAACTGTGCTCACTGCTGAGCTGGGCCTTGCTTTAAACGTTTAACGGGTTGAAGCGTGCGATGTAAAATATCAAATAGCCAAACCAGTTCGAACATCTGTAAAAAGTTGCATTTCAAAATGTTTACTGGGTAATGAAAAGAACAATTATATTCTTATTATATTATATTCTTATTATATTATTATAATAGTGGGAACTGGTTTATGCAAAGTCTAAGCAATGTGTAGTGGAAAAAAAGAGAGAGAAATCACCTGCCAGTTTACCAGTGTGGGAGTAAAGGAAAAACAGAGCAGCCCAGTGTAACCTCACTCAGCATGCCTGACACGTTGCATCAGCGGGCACCAGCCCTGACCAACCTCATGCCACAGGAATACAGATCGTTACCATAATAACAGATAGCAGGGAGAGAGAGAGAGCGCTGACAGCAGATAATGGAAAATATCTGAATATTAATTTCATGTGCAATACTACTGTTTTTAAATAATTCATAGATGA